CTGTGGTGTCTGTTTTGTCAGCTGAGGGCATGAAAGCTTAGATGCAAAATTCACGTGTCCCAGGTAATAATGCATGCTGGCAGCAGTAGAAATAATTAACTCAGCTTTAAGAGGCTGCATTTGTGATGTGATTTGGTTGGTGTGGAGGAGTCTTTCCTTTTTGAAATTAATTTATTTAGAACTGGTAAATCTTAATGGCATGAACGCACTCTTTGTTGGATGGCTAGGTAGCTTGATTTATCTAATGGTTATCCCTTATTTGATATCTGTGGTGAGGAACAAGAACCTCTTACCTACTCAGCCTATGCTTTGTTAGATGGTAGACACAGTTTTTTGGTTTTTTTTTATTATAATAGAGAGAGAGAGTACAAAACATTTTTCTCTCCATAAAAAACTATTTCATCCATGTGGGGAGGGAGGGTGGGCAAGCTTACTATGCTTTAAAACTTTAATAAAGAAACAGTGGTGTTTGACGCCAGTGGCAACTACTAAATTGCTGTCAAAAACTTCATAAATTTGTAGATGAAGACTGGTGATGCATAAGCTTAAAATGAACAAAAGCAACACCCACATGTAGAAACGTGGTGCTTGATGACTCTTTTTACTAGGGGAGTGGGTAGAGTGCTTTCAGAGGTAGCAAATGTCTAGGCCAGTTCATGCCTCCTGCCAGGTAGCTGAGGTCCCCTTATGCCTTGCCCAATCAGTGAGTGGGGCTGGCTTTGCAGGTTTAGGAACCTTCCCCTCCCCCTCCCAAAGAAGGCGCAGATCTTGAATGAAGCGATGGGACAGGTGTGACATTGTGCAGTCTATATGGTTTTCTAAAAACATAAGTGACTATAATGCGACTGGGATATGCTTCGTGCAAAAGGTCTCTTGTAAGGTATCATTACAAAGCTCATAATCTACTGAGTGTGATCATCCTAGTTGTACCACTCTTGTATCTAAAACTAGAAATATAAAACATAACTCTGAGGGCCTATTGTAATTATGTAAAGTGTGGGCCATTAATGATGGTTTGGAATCTTGACTCTCATTAACAAGGACCATTGTCTGCAGATGGCTGTGTTTACGTGTTAGTCTTCCTGTATACATGTGTGCTGGCAATTGGGCAATGAAGTCTTGCAGTGACATGTGATCATGTCACCTGAACTGGAATCCATCTTTAACCTGGTGCTTTTCCAGTGGGGGGGTGGAAACCCAGAGGGTCAAAGGGTTCCCACCTTATACAAAAGATCTATAAAGGGGTGGAAGAGAACAAAGGGAGAGAAGAGCCATCATGGAGAATCCCCTAGCTATCACCTGAGCTAGAACAAGAGCTGTACCAGGGAAAGAACTGTGCACAGGCCTGGAAGGTGTCCAGTCTGAGAAAAAGCTTACTGAAGCATCTCTGAGGGTGAGATTATCTCTATTCAGTTTGATTAGACATAGATTTGCACATTTTATTTTATTTTGCTTGGTGACTTACTTTGTTCTGTCTGTTACTACTTGGAACCACTGAAATCCTACTTCTGTATTTAATAAAATCACTTTTTATTCATTAACTCAGAGTATGTATTAATACCTGGGGGAAGCAAAACAACACTGATAGAGATATGCACAGTTATAGAGGGTGAACAATTTATGAGTTATGCAGGGTAAAACGGATTTATTTGGGTTTAGACCCCATTGGGAGTTGGGATCTGAGTGCTAAAGGCAAGCACACTTCTGTGAGCTGTTTTGGGTGAACTTGCAGCTTTAGGGCAAGTGATTCAGACCCTGGGTCTGTGTTGGGGCAGACGGGAGTGTCTGGCGCAGCAAGACAGGGTGCTGGAGTCCTGAGCTGGCAGGGAAAACGGGGTAGTCTTGGTACATCAGGTAGCAGCTCATAAGGGGGTTTCTGTGATCCAACCTGTCACAACAGGGTTGGATAATGATACTTGTGATCTGAACTGTGCAAGGCTCGTTACAAGTGTGTGCGCGGCCCTTGCCGCCTTCTTCCACCGGCCCAAGAATTGCCCCCCAAACATCCCACAACTTCCTCACTTATTACAATGCCAGGTGTTGCCTCCACCTAAGGGAGAGACGGGCAGGCTCCCCCCACCCGGAGCTGGGGGCCACACCCCGCGGGGGAGCACGTTACACTGCACCCCTTGGTACTGCAGGGGTACAGGCGGGTGCTGCGGGGGGGGCGAGGACGGAGGTTGAAGCCCGGCTGGCCAGGCTCGAAGGGGTGGGGGGCCGGCGGGGGGGGAGGCTGTGGACGCGCCCCCTCCCCAATCACAGGTGCGTTCACCCCCCCCCCTCCCGGAAACGCTGTCCCCTGTGGTGCGGCAGGGGGGCAGCGGCACCGGAAACGCCCCTCGGTGCCCGAGCGGAGGTAACTGCGGGGCGGCGGTGAGGAGCCCCCGCGGGGAACTGCAGCACAAGCTGCCGCCGCCTCAGCGGCGCCGGGGCGCCCCTTTCCCGCGCTCTGCCCGGGGCTGAGGGGAGGGGGCTACCGCGGCCCCCATCGCTCCTTCCGAGGGGGCTGCCCCGCCCCCATCGCGAATTGGGGGGGGGGCAGGCTGCCCCGCCTCTCTGTGGCCCCTCCCCACACATTCCGATCACCCCCCTTTTCCTCAGCCCGGTGAGGGTGCAGCGCTGGTGTGGCAAGGGGCATCCCCCAGCGCCAGGGACTGCAGTCACCTCCCACTGGACCTGTGCCCCCAGGGCTGTCTGCGACCCAGCCTGCCTTGGGCCCCAAAGCCACGGGTGGTGGGGCTGTTAACCCCTATAAGTCCTCAGTGGAGGCTGGGGGCTAGGCAAGGTTCAGGAGTGTTTAGCACCCTGCTCTGATCGAGATTTAAAAGAAACCCCTGTGTCTAAGCAGTAGCCTTGCTGCCTGTGTGCCTGTAAAAACCCTGGCTTGATTCAGGCTGGATAAAGTAACCATGCAGAAGCCTAAGGGCATGTGGAAGGTAGCAAAGAACGCAGGTATTTTAAGGAGTTAACTGTCTAAAGACACCATTTGTAATGAAACCTCTTACCCCCAACAGTTGCTAGCCCAAAAGTGACATTTCTGTCTGACTCTTTTTTCCCTTCTATTGTTGAGAACTTTTGTAAAATTACTGTAAGTGAAAGATTAGAGAGGAAATCTTCCCATTCCCCATGTTTACTTTGCGCATTTGACACTGCTTTTGACAGCGATTTTGCTGTTTTTCCCCCCTCCCCCCCCCATGTAATCAAATCAGTTTTCCTTTTTAAGAGATCCATGTAACCAACAGTGAGAAGCTACATGGGGGGTAGAGGTAAGAATGAGACCTGTATAGAGACTGGAAGTGGGGGATGTGATTTCCCTCCCACCCATCCCCCCCCAAAAAGTCCCTAGGAACTGATCAGCTTTCCAGGTGAGGAGGGCTCTTTTTAGGAACCCTGCATGTACATCATTTTTGCTTTCTCTGACCTCTTCGTTCTTATGACAGTTGAATGTATGTAGAGGGTGGTTCTCCCGGCTCTAGATGTGCACAAAGACAGTGGCTCTCCACTAATAACTTGCTTACAAAAAGAACAATTGAATTGCATCCGATGAAGTAGGCTGTAGCCCATGAAAGCTTATGCTCAAATAAATGTTAGTCTCTAAAGTGCCACAAGTACTTCTGTTCTTTTTAATTGAATCTGCATATGTAATTGCTTTTAGGTCCTTACTAAAACAGTTTTTTTCCCCCCCCTTCCCACCTTTGATAGATCTCCACCTCTCTGAAGCAAAGGCGTATGTAAGAAAACATCCGTTTGGAAGCGTACAGTTTATTTCAGCTAAAGATGGTGCAAAGGAAAAAATCTGCTCTGCAGGTGCTGTCCTTTAAAAGCTTCTGCATTCTTTCACGCCTAGCAAAATGGCTTTTAAAAACAGATGACTTGTGAATCTGTGCACATAGCTGACATTACAAGGATATTGTACAAAAGGCCACATGCATTCCAACGGACATCTCTTGTGAAAGGGAGATTCTATGCTTTCAAATGAAAAGAACATCCTAAAAACACGGATCCTTAACCGGAACAAGTATTAAAGGGACCGCATCAGAATGTTTATTAGTGCCAGGAAAGTCAGAAAATGCCAATTTGTGCAGATACTTGCCACTTGCTTTGTACTGTCTCTCATGATTTTCTGGACACCACTTGATAATCATATTGTGAGCCATATGAAGTCCTATTCTTACAGATACCTCATAAATAGCTACACCTTTGTGAATGATAGCCTGTCCCTTAGCAGGGAAAACCTGGACAGGGTAGCAAGATACCGATATTTGATCAACCACAAGGAAAAATGTCAACAGCAAGAGGTCCTCCTTCTATTGTTTGTAAAGACTTCTCCAGAAAACCGGCATCGGCGAGATGCAATTCGACAAACCTGGGGTAATGAAAAATATGTATATTCTCATCTTCATGCCAACATTAAAACTGTTTTTGCTTTAGGACGACCAACAGATCATATGCAGAGAGCACAGATGCAAAGAAAACTTCTAATGGAAGACCAGAAATATAATGATTTGATCCAACAAGACTTCTTGGATACTTTTCACAATCTCACCCTTAAGTTACTTTTGCAGTTTGGATGGGTGAATGCATACTGCCCACATGCCAAGTTCATTATGTCTGCAGATGATGATATTTTTATTCACATGCCAAATCTTGTTGCATATCTCCAAAGTCTAGTGGAAATTGGCGCTCAAGATATCTGGATTGGGCGTGTCCATCGTGGAGCTCCTCCCGTGAGAGATAAGACTAGCAAATACTACGTTCCATATGAAATGTACCAGTGGCCTTCTTATCCTGACTACACAGCTGGAGCCGCATATGTAATATCAAGTGATGTAGCAGCTAAAGTATATGAGGCTTCACAGACCCTTAATACAAGTCTTTATATAGATGATGTTTTCATGGGTCTCTGTGCCAATAAAATGGGAATTGTACCACAATATCATGTATTCTTTTCTGGGGAAGGAAAGGCTCCATATCATCCCTGCATCTATAACAAAATGATAACCTCTCATGGACATGTAGAAGACCTTCATCACCTTTGGAAGCAGGCAACAGATCCAAAAGTCAAAAGCTTTTCCTCTAGATTTTTGGGTAGACTATATTGCAAAATAATTAACATTATGCTTCTTTGCAAACTACACTATGAGGACACATATCCCTGTTCAGCTGCATTTTCCTAATACTTGAATATCTGCATAGAGTTTCACTGAGCCAAAATGGAGTGACAACTTTTTAACGGTTTATCCAAAATATACATAAAGTAAACATGAAAAGAGGTAAGATTTAAAATGTGAATAGCTTTTAGGTCCCAAATTATTCTGCTCAGGAACTTTATCAGAATAACTCTCTATTGCTGTATTAGTTTCCACATACTGCACCCTGTATTTTTTACACTCCTTTTCAAGGGATTTAAATCTTGAATAGATATTGACTGACTTCATTTTTTAGATATTGAAAAGCCTGTGAAAAGTAATTGAACTTGGGAGTACAGAATTTGTCAATAACCCTTGTTAATTGCATTCTTCCATTTGAAAACCAGTGTGTAAATTAAGGCGCACATCACTTCAAGGCAACAGCTTGCAGTTGATGCACCACTTAAACCTCCATAAATAGCACTTTCCAAACAAAAGGAAATGATGGTTCTGGTACCATGAGTAGAAGGGTATGATGGCAATTTAAAAAAGTCTGAGTAAACTAGTCAAATGGTCACCATTTCTGAATACAATTCAGCGAAGTGACTCTTTAAAAATCAAAATAAGCCACAACTGGTGCTAGAGGTGAAAGCTTGCTAAAACATTTTGTTCTCTTGAGATTACCTAAATCCTGCACAACATTTGGGTGGGGGGGAATGGCATTCACGGTGTCCTTCTAACTGGTGCTTTCAGGTAATACATGAGCTCTGTTTAGAACAGGAATTTACGGGAAGGTACATTCATAACTTCTGCAACACTGCTTCAACTACAGCAATATTTTGAAAATGAAGTAACTTTTTTTTTAATCTGAAAACACTTTCTGAAGTGGTATTTTAAACATTCCAATCAGTCATTGGTAAACTAAGAGCACATGTATCGAGGATGGCCTTCCAGCTGTATCTTTCAAAAATACACTTCTGTCTCCCTAGTTGTCTTCCCTCTTGAAAATTAAATTAAACTTCTCCATTAAATAATTCAAGGGAAGTCTGTCATAACATAGTTAATTCAGATTATTCAAAAAGTTGAAGCCAAATTTATCCAAACTTGAGCACTAACAGAAAGATGTGAGGAGCTGAAAGTAAGGGTAGACTGCACAAAGAAGGGATAAGGTGAAAATATTGACAGTAACATGTAAAGATGCAACATTTATTAAGAGATTACAAAGAATCCACTAAATTGTCCTCTCTTAATCTAATTGGTTTCAAGCCAATCTTTGTCTTATGGCCCTGGGAAGAAGTCAGTGTCAAAATAGAAAATCTGTATCTTCAACCAAATCTATTTCATATGTTACTCTTGCCTCTTTAACATGAGCAAATAGCTTAACCTGCCGTTTGCAAAGGCTAGAAGTAGGTGCTATTAAGACCCGGACCACCACCACCACCGCTTGTAATCTGATAGTTCATAACCAGGTCCAAAACTCTAAAGTCCAGTTCTGGGAGAAGGACTCCACACTCTTATTAGTCTTGTTGTAACAATGTTTCTGTGTACTTTGTGGACAGGTATTTGTTAGTAACTCTAGTAGCCAAAGCCATGGTAGCTGCTTGGATACTGGTAGATGTGGATGCAAGTGGTGTTTGTCTCATTTTGAGAGCTGTTTGACATTGGTATGAGTTCCAGTGTGAACAGGGTCATAAAATCACTTCAGAATGCTTGAATTCAAATCTTCACCCAGTGGCATAGCAGTAGAAATGCAAAACAAAGGCTGGAAATGACAAGGAGTCTGTCACTTAGTGGAGCTTTGTCATGTTCTAGGAGGTGGGCTCTTCAGCTCCAAGAGAGGTGCTATTTGCTTTCTAAGAGAATATCCACAGTAGCCTTTTTCCCGAAATTTCCCAGCACCAACACCACCACTGCTGTAGATGACCATGTGGGAGCACTAAAGTAGACCAGTCACCGTATTTAACTCTAACTTTGCTCAGGCAGCTGCGTGTACCTTCTTGTTTAAGCTAGTGCTTCCTCTATTGCAACCATCTGTAGGGCTGCATCAGTGGTAGTACGCAGGCATCTTAGGAGAAAAAAGGCTAGTGTCAACAAGATCCATGAGAGAACTCTCAGCTGGTTATTGGGGCATGATTGATATTTGCCTCTCTGCAAGCCACTCTTCCAGCTGGGATAAGAGCTTGATATCTACTAGAATGAGTAATCATACAGATTAGGTGTTTCTCCGGAGTGAAGGTGTAAGGAAACCACTGGACTGAGCACAGTTGGATCCAGGTGTTGACTACACAGAGAAACCTACGAAGCGAGACTTAGTCCATTACCACAATGCAAAAGTGATGGCTGAAAAATGAGAAAATTATCCCATCCTACTGGATAATGTTATATAATTCTGCAGCTCTAAAATGTTTACAGCAAAACAAATCCAGTTAATCCATGCTCTTTAATTAGAAAAGAGGTTGATTTACACTACTCAAAACTAGCTTTGTTTAACCAGTGTTGAATTTATAATGGCAAAATAACTAAAATATTACAAGTTATAGATCTAAATTCCTGAGAAATCTAAAAATACATTGCACTGTGGAAATACTTTTATAACTGGCGGAAATTTTTTTGATTGCACTAGCCACTTTGAATTGAAAATAACCTGTGGCAGAAATGACATAATAGAAATCCTAGCTAGTATAAAATAGTTAAAATGCAGTATGCTTTTAGATGTATACAATTAAGGCCGTGATCCCGCAAGCAAATGTAGTGATTAACTTGACTCACATGAGTCAAGTTAAGCATATACTTACATGTTTGTAGGATTGGGGCATAAGTTAGCATCTATAACTTGTAATTTTATTTAAAAACTTAATTTGCCATTGGGTGAAAAGATCCAATGTCCCTCTTGACCATTGAAATGCTTTTGTTTACAGGAGGTCTGTTTTGTTAGGAATATTCCTTATCTTAAAAAGGACTTTGATGTTTGTAATTTGGCTTTTTATTATGATTTTTTGCTGCAGTTTAAGAGAAAGGGTTTATAAATTTGAAGAAAATATGATAGCACTCCTTCCAAAGAATGGAGAAGCTAGAAAATTTCTTAACCTTTTGGCTCTAAACATTGACTTAAAATTCGTACTCCTTCCTTTAGTTTTGTTTTGAGAGAGAGAGGTATGTCGGTGCTCCAATGCAGGGCTTTCATGTTTTATTTTCACAATTAAAACATGCACCAGCCTGAATGGTCACTTCTCAATTAGCATTTTTGACATTGTTGCACAAAATGTTTAATGCTGAAATTGTTTTTACCTGTTTGTTGGTTTGCATCAAGTTTCCTTTAATATTACTAATTTTTATACAAAATTAAATATTTATTCTTGAAACCTTTTGCTCTATCACAAAAGACAATTGTTTTGTAAAACTTTTCTGTTTTGAATAAACAGGGTTTGTGTATATATATATATATTTTTTTAAACTGGTAAACCTTTTTGCCTTTCAGAATTTCACTACTTGTACCTGACATCAACAGCTTTGGTGCTTAACATTGAATTCTGAATACACTGTTTAGTCCCTTCTTCAGAGAAGACTTGAACCCCACATTAGTATGTGCTGGGTTTTATTTTTGTTGTTTTTGTATTTTCTCTGTTTAATGTGTCAGCCTTTTTTACTTCTCCTTTTGGCATGTCCTCTCTTATGGAACACAAAATAATCTTTTTGCTCACCCCTGAGGTCCCATGTTGCATTCACCTGCCTTCCACTGGAGGACTCTGTGGAAGACTCTCTTAATGATGTAGTGATATGGGCTTTGTGTTTCCTGTTAACAGGAAAGTGAGATTGCTGTTCATCTTACAATGTGTTCACTCCCGAAGAACTGAAAGCTCCTCCAGGTTGCTTTCCAACAAAATTAACTTTTTCTGTAACTTTCTTTTATGAAACTCCTCATTATAGTTGTTTTATTTTAAAGCCACGCAGAGACCTTAAGTAAGAGAGGAATAAATGAATGTTCGTATTTGGAAGAAGACTGTTGTTCCTCCCAAATGGAATGTTTCGGCGTCGGTGAGGTACGTTCTTTAACTCCAGGAGCAGTGCTATTTGCATTCTAAGGCCTTGGCTACACTGGCAATTCACAGCGCTGCACTTGCTGCGCTCAGGGGTGTGAAAAAACACCCCCCCCCCCCCGAGCGCAGCGAGTGCAGCGCTGTAAAGTGCCAGTGTAATCCGCGCCTGCAGAGCTGCACGCTCGCTCGCAGCGCTGCAAGCTATTCCCCTCAGAGGTGGAGCTCTCGCAGCGCTGCCGGCGCGACTACACTTGCGCTTCACAGCGCTGCAAATCCGCGAGTGTAGCCAAGGCCTAAGAGAATGTCTCTACTAGCCTTATTGGGAACAAATAGAGTTAAAGATCTACATGGCTGCTAACCTTCAAAAGTGGTAACTCTTGCAATACTAGGAACAAAATTAAGTTTTGAAAATTCTTTAAAAATTGCTGTTCATGGAACTAGTTTAGAGCATCCACACTACTGCTCTGTTAACAATCTTTGCTCCTCTAACTTATTAAGTCTATGTTCAAGACTGCTACTTGTCTCTCGAGACTTGAATACTTTTAATATTAGTATTAAAAGATGTCAATATTTTTAACTCACTACCTTTTAAAAAGAAATCATTTTTATTTGGTAACTCTCATCGACTTCAGTGGAAGCTAGGAGACTAAATACCTTTTGAGGATCTGGGACTGTGTCTTAAAGCTTTTGGGGGGGAAAAGCTTTAAATTGTGTTTGTTTTTTTGTCCCGTCCCCCCCCCCCAATCCACCTGATGATGATTGATTGATAAGGGTCTTTTTAGTGTGATACACTTTCTCCCTTGCTAAGGGACTATATACTGGGAAACTGACATTGCATTTGACAGCATTTTGTATATAAATTAAATGAAAAGAAAAAATTGTCTTTTAACTTTAGGTGTTACTAGTAATAATAGTAAAGGCAAAATTCAAACAGAAACATGGCTCTTCAAGTTGAATGTCTCACATTCACCATAGATAACATTGTCATACTACAGTCTTAAATCCATATTTATTGTGGAGTGGATTTGCAAATCTGGCCTGGAGGAGAGAAAATCATTGAGAAAACAATCTCTTCTAAGGTTCTGACTCGGGGCCCATCCCCCAGGGGATAAGCCCCTGACTAGGGGATATGAACATGGAAATGACATTAGTTAATATAGATTCATTTCAAATAAACAAATAACCCTTGCACCTTTAAAATCTGCTGCCTTTATAATGATATGAGCTTCAAGAACAGTGTATCTTTAGCACCTGTAATGTTATGTAAATGGAAATCTAGGCTTTATTGTCTATGCTCTATTGTAAAAACTTTTGTATTGAATAGTAGCATTTTTAACAGAAGTGACCATGTGAGGTAATAAATAAAATGCGTACATACAGTAGAGAGGATTGAAAAAATGAATAGGGAAGATAAACCAGACTGTCTCCAATAAAGTTTCAATTCAACATACCCACTTAGTGTTTCACAAACAAACATACTAAAGTTACCTTTCAGATTAAATATTTACCTGTTTTTTAAATCTCTCACACAAATCTAGGTTCATTACTATGAAAACTATAAGTCCATTAGACAATTTTGTATGAAGAGCTAGAAGATAAACGGACCGTGAAGAGCCAATGAGACTACACCAAGAGGAAAATAGAGGGAAGGAGGGCTGGATCAGTTGAATTTCATTATCCTAGATTTAATGAAAGTAATTCTATTTTTTCACATACAGCCATTGGGTATTTTTACTGTCAGTATGGTTTGTGTTCAGGATCATGCACTCAAACTTAATTTCAAGTTTATTTCACAAGTCTTCCTAAAATGTAGAGACAGCAAGCCAGTACCATGTGTACTAAAAACAACAAAATGCCCACATACCTTTAATGTTTCCTAGTCACACACAATCTTCTCTTGCTAAGGAGTTATTTAAACCCATGATACTTCAAGATATTTATATATAAACTTCTTGCTGATGAATATGCAAGCTCATTCTTAGTTAAGACCACAAGTGTCATTTTATATAAATAATACTCCTAATTTTAAATTGAATTGATTCAAATGCAAAGTGAACCTCCTTTACTTAGAAAAATATACTCTCCCTCATGCCTTGGTTTTGATGACTTTTCTTGGGCAGAATCCCAAATGTTTTTTAATATGGTGGGTGACTGACTCTCTCCTAATGAATGACCAATCTAGACTTAGAGCAAAACATGTACTTTTGAGGGATGTACTATCACTGAATAAACAAAACCTGCCTTCTATTAAGGCAACGTTCCTACAACAAGACGCATCTGTATCCTTACCTCCTCCTAGTGGAAAGATTCTCCTCGCTTTCACTCATCACCAGGACTCTGCTGGACCCACCTTGACTGGCTTCATGCATCACTTCAATCTGAATTAAAAATAAATTTTAAACATTAAATAGTTGCAGTTTGCTGACTGAAGGCTCACCTTTCAGTTGCTTTTTAAAAAGCAAAAAAGGCAGAATTTGACACTATATTTTGGTAAATCAGTTGGCAGCTTATATATTTAACACAACTTTGACTTCAATAATTAATGTATAACGTGCTTTTTATTTAAAGCTAACTTCTTACATTTTCTAGACTATTTTATGACTATATGTATTACTTGTTTTGGCTCTGAATTGTTCCATTTATCCTACAGTGAGGGAAAACTACTCTTGATACTAGAGATATTCTTGGCTTCTTATAAAGTTTTTATAATCTTCATTCTTAGCTCATAACATATGAGATCAATGTTGTTCTTGTATCGGGAGCAACTCTTCATACTTATCTGCCTTGAACAGGAATATCACAAACTTCATTCAGTATTTTATGGTTGCTTAGCACGTTATTAGGCATGGTGGGGTTTTTTGTCTTGCCTGAATGACATTCCCGTTCTTTAACTGAATGCGGTTTAGCTTGTCTTCGGATTTCAAACTTTATATACAATGTAGTACAGTGAATTCCAGGGCATTATGGGGTTTTCTTGTTCTTTTT